ATTATTAAGTTCTATTATTTTAACAATTGTTTAAAATTATTAAATTTTTTTAGTTTTCTCATTAATTTTATTAATTTTTTTAGATGTACTTAAAGTAGATACAACTTAAATTTTTTTTAACTTTAATTGACTGTGCACACAATGATCTCAGTATTAATAATATGTATATAATGTATATTAGCAATACAATAGCCATTTATAATCGTTCATTCATATATACAATGACATCATTATGTCTTATGACAATAAATCTATAGGTGTTGGATATTGTCCAAAAGTCTTCTAATGTAAAAGCTCGATGGGATCGCGCGACATTCCACAAGACATCTCTGTTCGACAATTTCTCGCGGTTTTTTCTCTCGTGAGACCGACGTCACACCCATTCTTTTCGGTCCCTTTTCTACGTGGAAAACGTTCTAAAAATTAAATCGTAGAAAATTCATTCTTCATTCATTTCACTTTAAAATTTAGGGTTAACTTTAATGAAACAACTTTTTAATAAAATATACAAATATACATATATACGCAGTAAACTAAAATTTTAAATTTTATGAAATCAAGTTCAAACATTTACATAATATTTTTTCAATAAATTATAGCTGTGCATCATGTTATATCAATAGTACAATCGTCTGAATAGAAAAGTTCCTCAAAGCGAGATTCGTAAATCTACAAATGTAAAAGTTCCTTGGATCTCAGAATTTGCAGACTAGTATTAAGCATTGCAAAAATAGAAAATCCTGAAAGTGCAAGGTTCTCAACTTATGACTGTAGATGAGAAATGTATATATTTTAAATACGAACGCATATTCTAAAACTGTTATTTTTAGACATTTTTATAAAATATTTTAACTTTATGTGAAAGACATTGATATTTTTCTCGTTATTTCCCGACGTTTTCCTGCAAATGTATAACAGTAAAGTAAAATTCTTGCAATGTCTATGCACATATAAGAAGAAGTTGAGAGACGGCCGTCATGTCTGATGATAATAAATTCCTCTCTGCTATTCTCCGCGCGTTTGGCGGGTCACGGGCGTTTTTCACTGTCGGTGCGTTTGACCGCATTCAAAGTTCTCCATAGCATCCAGAGAAGAGTGCAATTCTCCGCCTCGTGCTGTCGATGCGAGTGCACCGAGGAATTATTTCTCTGGAATAAGGGTGGGTTTCCTGCTCGGGGCTCGATGCCATTAGTAATGGTTTTAATTTGTACGGCTGAAACTTCACCCTCCGCCGGCCTCCGATCAGCGCGGAATCGATGACGAACGAGTTAGGAACGACCACCGTGTCGCCCCGGAAATGGATTCTCCGGGGAAAATAGTACCGGATCGGATCGTTCTCACAAAAGTTGCACAGAAATCGAAGAGAATTTTGTGTTATTTGCGCGGTATGATTGTGGGTTCATTTGAACGCGATTAATTATTTGATCCATGCACTAGGTATACGTATTTTACTTCAAATACTATTACGTAATCGCAACGTTAAAAAACGTTAAAGTGTTCTTTGCATATTTGAGAAAAAATGCTTACAATTGGTAGTCCTCTTTTTTTGCGTAGTATATTTTTTAAATTATTTATTATTTTATATATAATATATGATATACCTTCTGAATGAATCTTACAAAAATATGCATTTAAAATCGTCAATGTACGCCAAATCCGTATCGTAATTAAAAAAAACAACTAAATTCTCCTTCAATATCTATGTATATGTTAATAACATTGCCTAAAATGGTTTATTTCTATAGATACATCCTCCTTTCTAAGATACGCAGTAGCGTCTCACTCATCAAAGGATGGACTTGACGAAAAGTATACTTGGCGCGAGATACTACCGCGTCTCCTGATACAGCAAAAATGTATTATAAAAAAAAACTAAACAAAAAAATAAAAACATAATATTAGCAATATCGAGTTTACTGCCATCCTCCGGATGCGTAAGCAACTATTGCGCCATGTTCGATTGCAACTCCAGCCAAACCACTTGGAAACTCGACTTCAATCCATCATGGGGTTCATGTCTTGGCTAACTCATACTCTTAAAAAATGTAGACATTCTTCTAAAACAGTTTTAACTGATTTTACTTGATATTCTTTTGAATATGTCTTAAATGCACAAATGAGCTTTCATATTTTTACGTTGTTTCAATAAATTCTTTGATATTTTAAGAATACAATGATAAAAATAACTATAAATAACTAACATAACTTTTTTTTTTTTAATTGTATTTCTATCATATTTGTTATATTACATTTTAGTTTAAGCAATATCAGCTTTTGCATAATCCTTGTATAAGAACAAGTATCTTATCGTTCAGCGTTGTGCGTTGCGTTCATAAAAGTTGTTATCGCTAATGTTTCAACTTTCCAAAATCACCATTTATATGTGAAAGAAATGGAGTGCACGTCTGGGAACATGAAATTTATAATGAAAAGAAGTTTATGAAGCGGTGCAGAGCAACGATCCCTGCGTTCGTCGCCAGCAAAATTGCCATAAAAGTCTTTTAAGTTTACGGCGCGTGTAGCCGTGCATGAGAAGCATGAAAGACCTACTAAAACAGGTAGTAGCTGGTAGAACTTAATATGGCGGCCTCCAACTCCTTTATTCTACCCTATGATACAACTTCGCGTTTTGTAACTTTTTTCCAAGCGATGGAAGTAATGTGTCAAAATAAGATGTTTTATCTATGTTTATTATAAATTTTCGTATTTTTATTATAAGTACGAAAATCTCTTTATTCAATAAAATTTGTACATTATATTAAGAAATATATAAAGCAGTGCATATACAAATCGTTGCATTGATTATTAGAGTCTTTTAAATCGAAAGTTAATGCTTGATTATATTTTTGATTATTGTGTAGAATTTATCTCGACAATATACTCTTTGGAAGTTTTAAAGTTTCAATACTGAAATTCTTGTACCAAAAGTCGCAGTAAGGAAAGAAAGAACGATTCAGTTATTGCCCTGTGCTATTTTTTATTCAGAAATGACGAAAATATTAGTTATTAATTTTATTAAAAGTGCTAGTATAGTACTAATCATGATGCGGTTAAAAAAAATAAAATATAAATTAAATATTTTAATAAATATATAACAACAATAAATTCAGAAGAATATGACATTTTTTTTAGTTAGATCGCACGCGATGTAGTAAATTGTTATTAAAAATTTTGCGTCTTGTATGGTGTATTCTAGTAATTTATTAAATTGCATGCAATCACACGAAAAATCGTATGTTCTGATTTTGTTATTATATATTTATTACAACATTTAATTCGTTTTTTTTTTCATCTCTTGTATTTTATTTTTTTTAATCAAGCACATCGTATTTGATTGTGCTACACTTTTAATTACGTTGTATTTTTAGTTTTTATACATATTTAAATACATATTTAAATACATATTTAATAATACACTCAAGGCTGTATATTTATTACAATATTTAATTTGCATTCTTTCCTATTTGTAATTGTATTTAATTTCTTTTAATCAAGCATATCACGATTAGTTCTAAGTGCACTATTATATTATTAATATCTTTACGTTATTTTTGAATTATTGTAATAGCACAGCAATAATCAAATCGTTCTTCTTTTCTTAATGTGACTTTTTTATGCGACTATTACTACACTGAAACTTCAAAACTTCCAAAGAATTTATAGTCAAGAAAAACTCTGCAGGAAAAATCGCATCGTGTGCCTCTGGCTTAACGTTCGAAACGGCATCTCGTCGATTCGTTACTTCGAAATGGCATCGCATTTAAAAGTCTTACTTTCAAACAGAGCAATGGCATTTAAAACTCGTTGCTCCATAAAGGTAGCAAAGCGCGCGCTAATCGTTCTCACATGGTCTGTTCGTACGAGCACGTGGGCCAGCGCAAGCGTGATTGGCCGGCGAGCACGTGGCCGCTCGGCGAGAATCGGAGCTCGGGGATGTTCGGCTAACGTCGCGAGTCGACGACCGAACGGCTGAGCGGCAGTCGCGCGCCGGCCTCTGTCACGGTAGGATGTGTATGTTTACGTTTCCGCGATGATAACGGTCCGCACACTACATACGGAGGTTATGTTTACGCGCGTCGCGAGGACCACGCACGTCTTTGCACGCCGGTATTCCTAAAAATCAACGTCTTCGAATGTCTCCGTGTCTCTCGAGACGTCGTCCCAACGATTTTCCAAGCGTTCCGTGAGGTTTTCCCACTGCCGAAAGTCGTTGGACGTAAACGACAGCCGCGATGCAAAACGCGGTAAGTAGACGCCATTTTAATTACTTAATCGCTTAAAGATGAGAATAGAAAACTTTTTAAAAGCTCAAGTAAGTAGTAAACGTGAGAAATGCGAATTAACTTGTATTTTCAATGCGATCCGGAGCGGAGCAAATGCAGTTAGTGAATTTATGCGTTACTTTTATGCGACTTATGGATACTTTGAATTAACCTTAGAGTTAAAAATTAATTAAATAATCCCGATGCGGGATTGAAAACACCAAATTGATCGCAAGAAATTAAAGATATTAAATGGATTGGTAAACAAATTTACATATTTATTACGAAATTGGATTGAATTTTTCAATTTTTTGGCAATTTTAATCGAAATATTACATATTAAAATTTCGACTACATTTTCTTAAATTTAATATTTTTGAGTTTTTTAAATTGAAATTAATTTTACAAGAAGCAGTGTTATATCTACTTATTTTCTATTAATTCTGAAATATTTTAAAATATTTAAACGTTTCAAAAGGAAGATTAATTTCGGCAATAGTTATTCTCAGTGTAAAATCTAGTTTATCCAATTTTTAAGTCGCTGCAAAACAACGCTACTCTTTGTCTTTTTTCTAATCTTCTGCGACATTCTCGGGGATGTGATTGGTGAAAACAATATACATAACTCATTTATTTCAATTTGGTAAGTGAGTTTCGTGCCACGACGCGATCCTACTCGGTTCGTTAGCAAAATCGATAACTAGTTTTTGAACCGAAACGAATTGTTCTGATAATTTGGAGTTGTCTGCCATGTGACTTGTCAACCGAGCAATAATTTCCTTTTGCTTTTCTTTTTTACAACTTGTATCTAAATACTACTACATGATAAGGTATTTTAATTTATATTGCACCTTTTTATGTAAATTGTTGCTATTGATTGACGAATATGCCTAATTACGTCGTCATTGAACGATATTAATAATTGAACGATAAAATGGATATTGATTATTCTGGATAAACTGACACGACAAACCAAAAATTAATTTGAAAGTTATATTTGCTTATATTGCTCATAACAGTACGCTGTGATGACGAAATACTGCAGTTACGTTAAAAATGATTGATTTTTACGATTTCAATGACATTGATTATTATGTATATTTTTTAGGTTATTCGGCTCTATCGTAATTAATTGCAAATAACATATGGGTCTCATTCTCTATATAATTCAATTTATGTATTCTTTATAATAATTTATTTTATTACATAAATCATAAGAGTCAATTGAAAATTAGAACTACAAAGGTACGACCGAATCAGTATTATAAAATAGATGCACGTTTCATATTAGATTAAAATAACGCATTTCCGATTGCTTTAATTAGATTTCATACGTATTAAATTATACGCATTGAATTATTTAGTAATAATTATTCACTGCAGAATTTAATGAATTAAAATTCTATTTGAACATTGTTATAGAAATTAATGATGAGCAGAATAAGTGCGAAGCATATTATTAATTTTTTAAATTTTAATACAAATGAAATCGTGCGTATTTTTTTATGCATAATTTCGATTTTATCGTCGCCATTAAACATGTAAGTTTAATCATTTCTTCTATATGCGAATATTGTTTAATATATAGTATCGGAAAGTAAAACAATAATAAATTACGTATACTACGTTAACAATAAATATCGCGGGAATATTATATCATATTTATTATAATTCGTGATAACACAATGGATCTGTATTACTTCGTATATTATGTCGTGTATTATGTTCGTGACATAATTACAGCCTTATTATGCAAGGAAATGTTGCTTTTAAGAATAATTTTGATAACTAAAGCAATATAATTAATTCATTTGTACAATTTACCTACGTTAAATATCTCAATGGAGTGTGGCTTAGTTATATAATTAATATTGTGGATATATATTTAAGTTAAAAGTTAAAGAGAATGTTATAGTTTGTCTATAAATAAACCACTTAATATTAATTGATAACTATTCTATTTAATTAATTTTATTTTGGATAAAGAGGAATATTATTTCGTAATAATTTATATTTTTGAAATATGAATTAAAAATTTTAATGAATGGTGAATTACTTTAAATTGTTAATATTTATATATACATTAAATATTAATTGTTCTTACCTGTATTTCTATAAGTAAACGGCCATCTATTTTTTACGACATTCGTATAAACGAATGGATTAAAGTGGAGTGTGCTTTTATACCAGCTTCGCCCTCTCGTTGATAGTAGTACGGATGATTAAATTTTATTGCATCGCGCCACAAAATGGTCATACGAAGTTACGATATCGATATCCGAAACATTAAACGTTAGGAAATCGAAGAAAAGGGTGCGATAGAAATTGAGAAAAAGGAAAGAGGAACATAGGATGCACTTTACTTGAGTTCTCGTCGTACTATATAGACGAGATCGCGTTACTATAAAATCTGAGGAATTACATGTGAATTTATTAAATTTTCGAGCGATTTGCTAAATTGGAAATCCTTTTTTACGTAACTTCCTTGATTAATGTGTGCAAATAATATTCTTTTTTTTTTTTTCAAATATATTGAGAAAAAAGATTTTATGTAAAAATTTTATATCAGTGACGATTTTATATCGACTGTTTAATCACAAATCTTCTGTAAAACTTACCCGTATGTTCGCGAAACTGCATTCTGACAAGGTATGCGAAATATTTCAATTAGAGATCTGACGAACGTTGACGATGCTCACCTATTGCTCGGTCAGATCGAAAATCGATTGATCTAAATACGTCGTAAAATGCCACGAAGAAATGATTAAAGACGGGAAAAAAAACGAGATACGCCCCTTAGTAAGCGATTTCTCTCGTATAATCCACATATCGGAGGTGATGAAAATGATGGTGTTAACGAGAATTCTTGGTCTCGGGACCAGCATAAGCCGCTTTCCTTCTATTTTCTTCCCGAGTGGGCGTGATACGATATCGTGAAGATGTTTTAAAACGACCATAAATCACCAAAGATGGCGGACGGCTACAAGAGAGAAGGGAGTAGAAATATATATATTTAAAGCACTGCCTTTCTCTCCCTCCCTCTCTTTCCTTCCTTCCTCCTCTCTCTCTCCCCCTCCCTCTCCCCCTCTTCTCTCTCCCGCTCCCTCTCCCCCCCTCTCCTCCCCCCTCTCTCTCTGCGTTGTTCCGCTCTTCACTAACTCTTCACCGTCTTCTCTCTCACCTTCATTTTTGTTTTATTTGCGCGCACACTTGCATGCTGCTTTTTCTTCTATGCCATTAAGGCGTTTCTATAGCCGCGACGAATTATCGTCGAATAAAGCGACGCGATTAAGGCAACCTGGATGCGACGTAGAGCGAATCTTACTAAATTCCCGGAAGATTTTGGCTTAACAATCTTCTCATTCTTCCCGCAAAGGAGTCTTCTACGAGGCGACGGAACCGAGAACTTGATATATTTTCACTCCAGATGTTAGCGGTCCTTCACCTCTTCCGACGTGCTAATTGCGAGATTACAAATAGTATGGCACCTTGCGAGGAAAATGAATTAATTACTTCAGCATTCCAATTACGATAACGTTTCTCTTACTTCGAATTCATTATGCGTGTATTCTAAAAGAAATTTTTTTCACGATTTTATCTTCTTTCAATCGTATAAACTTTGAGTAACTTATAATTGGAAATGTTAATAAGACAGAAATATCTCATGAAATAAAAATTTGTTTTAATCAGCAATAATCTTAATAATCTTAAATTAATTACATCTTAAAAATGGTATCTTCCATCTTCTTGCTCTCTTTAACTAGTAAAAAAAAATTATCTATTTCAACATACAGTCATATTTCTAATGAGATTTATTGCTAGCCTTAGGATGCTTTTTCTTCTGCGACTAAATAAAAGATTCACAATTATTCGGGTCGGATTTCCGCATTGGAAGATGGAAGAAATCCACTTTCTTATAATAGAGCCGAATGAAAGAATTACTGTATGAGAATATATCTATCAGGAATTTGCGAGAAAGTCGCCAGACAGTCTGCGGAATTCCTCGCAGACGAATGCGCGACATTACGAATTAAATATCATGTCATTGTTTCTTCTAATACCACTGCGACGACAACGATGTCTACGGAGGAAACCGTGCGAGAAGTATCGCAAACTGTTCCTTGTTTTGCAAAGAAATCATGACATTGAATTAAAATCAAATAATACCGGTGGTCTCTGCCAGCGAGCGTACACCCGATGACAAAACATCGCGGTTATTTCGTAATTTTATTGATTCACGAGACAGCATCGGCGAGCAAGAAACACTTTGAGCAAGAAGAGAAATGCAAAGTTTGTCAAGTAAAGTCGTTCGGTTTTGTTTGCTCGTAAAGCATAGATGATGCATATGGAAATGGAGACAGTTAATTTCGTTGACTTAAACTGAAAATTTGACGAAACGAGTCTAAAAAAATTCGGTTGCTTGGCTATGATAAAAAATAAATGCATTGCAATGTTATTGGTACCTTTAAATTTTCTTTTATACAATAATATGTATGCATTGTATTGATTTAATGAAACATGAAAGCATCGAATGCATGTTACATTCAAAATAGAATAAATGCATTATGTGATTTTGTGTTTCCACCGCTTGTACATTTTTACTATAAAATTTTATAAATGATTCTCGCATTTCATATTGCATCCATACGTTGTAATGCGATGTTTATTCTTATAGGATGTTCACATAAAATATTAAATATAAACCATTATTTCAGATTATTCTCTAAACAATTATAAATTTATATTATTGTATAAGTAAAGAGAAGATTTGAATACTTTAAACATTTAATTTATAATATTTAATTCCTTTAAATATATTTTTTTCAATGATTTGTGATGAATATTAGTTGCATTAATATTAGTTTAAAGTTTCGAACTAGAATATGCTATAAAACTCTCGTATAAAAATTAATTAGTACAAATTATCATAACTTATATATATGATCTGATTTATTATATAAATTCCTTGAAATAATACAAATGCTGCCAGTACATTTTCTCACTAGTATTCCTTGCCCAAAATGTTGGTTGCACGTGTCACGATTGCTAGAAACGTGAAGATACACGAGTAGACATCTCGCTCTCCAACCCTTTGGCCGAGCGCCACTGAAATTTGGAACGTAAAATAGTATGAGTGACGCTAAGTTTTCCGCGTTATGCCACAGGAATTCATGAACAATACTCTGTGTATAGGCGATGTACATATTTTTCAGCAAGAATCGTTTGCCTAGTTGAAATATCACCTAGAAACATCTCGAGCAAGAAATACCTGTCGGCGAATCAAACGTTTCAAACATCGTTTATGCAAAACAGGAAATTTTTGTTTGCTGGAAAAATGCTTGGAAATCTTTTTTTTTCTCTGTTGAAAAATGTATTCCGCATGTAGTAGGATATGCCCAGCCCTTATGAATTTTACGCGCAGTAAAGGGCAACATTGCGCATATGTTCTATCTCCAGTCTGTTTCAACGCGAACTTTTAATTAATTGTACCAGTAAAAAATTCTTTTTTCTTTAAACAGAAACTGACTGAACTGTAATAGATACAAAACTCTCCTGTATTTGCACATATAATTCAGATTTATTTTATAGATATATTATAAAGATTATAATATATAATTGAATATACATGTTAAAAGATTATAACTAAAATTATTTTATGAAATTTAATTATAATATTAATTTCAATTGCAGTGATTGCAGTAGCGGTACATTTTACGTATGTTCGAATAATAAACATGTAGTAGCAATAGGGGAATGGGTAGGACCATCAGTTCCTATATGTTTGAGAATCAAAGAGTCACCGAAATCTAAAGGCGGTATTTATAGTAAGATTTTTAGAATCGTTTTAAATACAATTAAAATGTCATGAATCAATCAGAAGGCTGTATTAGCATCTTAAGACGTTACCTAAGACGGTTTTAAAATAAGAACCGACTATCGATCTAAAGATATCCTCTGCACTAGAACTCCCGTTAGGATTACGAAATTTTTTTGTGTACCATATATTAAATGCGCAATTGATTACGAATCGTTCTTTTATGGAGCCACACGACACATCTCTAATAAATATAAATAATATTCACATTTTTGTATGTATAGGTGAACGTGTGCGTAGAAACGTCAAACCCTATTCACCACATAATTTGTGCGGTAGTGTTTGTGTGAGGGGTCACCGAGAGGCTGCTGCGGAGGGCTTCCGAGATGAGCTATGAATCTGGGCTGCCTGGTAGCCTCTATCTTTGTTCTTCAGCTGCTTCAGCTGCCATTGGTGCTCGATGCGCTGCCTTCGGTCGTCAAAATTGGTGAGTTTGCATCTCGACAACTGTTTACTTTGCAGGATAGTTTTATTTTAAAGTACTCTTTGCACGATGACTTAACGACTCAATAAAATAATAAAAATACGGTTTCCTCTGAAATTGATGTTTTTTTATGGTATTCACTTTTAAACAAACTGAAAACAAAAATGAACGGTCTCGTCTAACATAAACATGTTCATGTAAATTCATCGCACGTTGATTTACGTGAATATTGTATATGTGATAAAATAAAACACTAATATATTTTTACAGTAATATCACAAATACAGTCATTGAATGATTAATCAGTCCGTATATATTGAAAAATATACGCCGATAAAGCTGAATTTAAATTTCACATTAAAATGAAGCTAAATTTTAAATTTAAATTATCCCGAATACGTGATTTTCTTTGGTAATTACGAAAAAAACAAAATGTTTTGTTCACGCTTTTCGATCGCATCTTGAATTGCGATCGAAAATTATTCATTCATCGTTTGTATCGATCTGATATTATCATAATTGAAATATTATTTCTTACTCTTTTTACGGTTCAATCTGGAGTTTATACCAAGCGAAAAGTTTGTCATCAAACACGGGTCGAACTAGACGCGTGGGTCTTTTTCTAACTATCCGAAGCTGAACTTGTCCTTTTCCCTAAGTTGCTTTCCCGAAAACTTTGACTAAGAGTCGCTTCTCAAATCAAACTTTTCTAGAAGTTACCCTCTCTCTTTCTCTCTCTTAAGCTACGTTTGTCGACAATGTCTCCAGCAATAATTATTGTACTGAAGGTATATATGGATGGTAAGATATATGTGGATCTCGAAATTTACTTTCAGTTCCAGTGATTTCTACTTTGTTTGCACTTCTTCTTTCTTTACTTTTTTTCAACTGTAAAGACCACTTCTCAATATTGTTTATCTTAAAAAAATCGTACATCGTATACGTAGAAAGAGTTATATTTGACCTGTTTATAATACAATATATACATTTAACAATGCATTTTAATATATTGTATAATATAGAAGAACTTGAAATACGAAACGCCTTACCAGTCCGAGCGTTAAGATGTTGAACTACTATATAATATACTATATAATTAACTACTATATAATAATTACTATATAATTAATTCTATTTAAATGAATGTTATTATATTTTTCAACATCTTAACACTCGGTAAGGCGCTTTGTATTTCAAGTTTTAATATAAACGGTCTCGTTTCCAATCATGTTAATATAGAAGAGTTACACATTAGATACATAAAATAAAATATAATTATTGTTTTAAAGTATCGTTAATAATTATTTTTATAGTATTACAATAAATTTAATGTATCTTGCATATTAATTTACACATATAAATCTAACTCCATTAAAAATTTTACATGTTATATATAAATTTCTATAAAAAAGAATATTTATAAATATTTCAAATATTGAACTATATTTATTTCAAATATAATTTCTGAGAATGCATGATTTCTTTTTGGCATATCATTATGTTATCGCGTTTATAGATAATTTACGAAATTCAATCATGCAACATAATATTGGATGTAGTAAGTGGCACTACTGGCGGCTTTCTTGTAACCAGCGTTAATACAGATACGTCAGCTACTTAGCACATCAGATTACAGGTTTATAATGCTCGAACATCCGTTATCGTGTTACTAATGAGAGTTCGTTGAGTTACTCGGTGGCCCTCTTGAACTAGTATTTGGCTTATAACATTTTCGTACAATATTTCCTACTAGATATAAAATACACGAATCAAAATTTTGACGAAACACATATTATTATACAAAATTAAAATTTAACTATTTATTTTATTAGTTATGTGAAATGGTGATTTTTATTTGTATATTTTATTTATTGTTTTAATATATATACTATTAAAAATTTTGTACACCTAAATTATAGAAATATTATTTAATAAGCTAATATAACTTATCTAATTCTTTTCTGAAAAATGATATGATAATTATGCATTTAATAATTAATAATTATTTGAAATGACATTTACATAATAATATACATTATACAGAGCATTTAATTAATTTTATTCAAAATTATTAATTTTTAGATAATTATTTAATTCTGTTTAAAATATTTTTCAAGAGAAAATGAGAAAATACCTCATATATAGTAAAAAGAAATTGACAATCTATATGTATATGTATATGTATGATATTAATATATCATTTCCTAAACGATATAGACATATTGCTGCGAAATAATTGCTAGATTTCTAGCCTAATCCCTACGGATAGCGAACAGTAATGAATTTCGTGTATTTAGTACAGTTGCTGTTAATTAATGCGTCTGGTATAAGCGGTCGCACTCAGGTAATTAAATTTACTGTTAAATATGGATGTCCGGTGGAAATTATTGATATCATTGTACGAACCGTACATGCATGAGATTAAAAAAATATCGCAATGAAAAGATCATAATTACTAGTGATTGTTTGATAGAAAAAATAATATTGCTTTAAATAAATAAATGACATATTTACTGTACTGATTAGATTTTACTCGTTGATTTTACAGCTTTATCGTGACAAATAAGTTGTCGAAAATTATTTGGTTCTTTCTCAAAATATTGACTCTCGCAGTAATCCGATTGGAAGAATGTTAATATCTGAATGCGAGAAGACAAGCGGAATTCTAGTAATGGTTTCGCCATACTCCCTGTTTTCGCGATAAAACGGTTAAATTCTCTCTCGAGTAAGCCGACAGGCCTGAGGAATTTACGCAGACAACACGTACATAACTGCGCGGCGGTGTATCGTCCTGAAACACGATATTTGTCTCGCGTCGTAACCTCTTGTTCCGCCTTTTCATTGAAATTGGATTTCTCGCCGTGAATGCCCTCGAGACACCCGCGCACTGCTTGTAACGTGTAGGACGTTTAGACAGTGAAAACGGATACAAAGATAAAGAGATCACATGGATATAACTCGCGAAGTAATGACGGAGGCAAGATAATTTTCATTCTAATTCTAACTCAAACGGCTCCTTTCTCTCATCATTACAATTGAGTCCATTCATTTCTTACAACAATATTATCGTAACAAATAAGATTCCTGATTACAAAAACAACTAGGTATAATGCAGAGAGATACATATGATTTTGTGGATGAAGTTTCCTCATGAGATGACATGATATATTTCCGTCTAATAATAAGATAAGAGAAGTATAATGTCAAAATCTAAGATTCAGTTTTTATTTAATTTTTAGTTTTAGTAATTTTCTGTTTTAATAGTTTTATAATTTATGGAACAATTATACAAAATATTAAAAATGTTAAGGATTGAAAATCTGCAATAAATAATGTTCTTTCTTGACAATTCAATTTGGAAAAATAATTATAAGAGTAAATTAGATTGATAAAATAAATCGAATAAGAGAAAGAATCCTATTTTTGATTAAAGAGAATCTTGGTGCTTAATAATATTTATAATTTATATGTGTAAATAATTAAATAATTAAATATGTGTAAATTCCAAATATATTTTTTAGTTATATAAAGTGTGCGTCCGATTTAACTTGTTGGACTTGAAACTTAACAAACATAAACTGCATGAAACTGAAAATTACATTATTAATTACATTGGCTGTCAATTTAATAATGATACTAATAAACATCTTAAAACGCTGCAGAGAACTTATTGCGAAAAATATCATCTTAACCTTGAATCTGCAATTCTTGATCATTAAGATATCGGTCCTGGAAAGTTGGAAATTTTAGGTTCAAACCCAGGCTAAGTATTTTTCGCGATGAATTCTTTACAATGTTCTATGATACCTACTAGCATCATTATTAAATTCACGATCAATATAATTTATGATGTTATTTCCAGCTTCAGGCACGTATTATCGAATCTTTCGGAATGGATTCCAATTGGAATTGTTTAGTTATTCTCTAGATTTCCATTATATTTTCTAAGGAAAATGAAATAATTCCGATCGAAATCTATTCTTCCGAACAATTCCACAATATGTGTCCAGTTTATGATTGCGTTTCAAGTTTGATAAATCGAATATGCGCTCAGTTTATGGAACTGAAAAATATATAT